TAATGTGTCGTGAAAATAGAATTTGATTACAAAATGTGGAAACTCTCTACAATTACCTTAAATCTAAATGACTATTGCAACTTTATAAAGTGTTTAAATGAAATATAAAGAAAAGAAAACTGAACACTTTATGCCGCTGACTTATAACTAGCATTAAAATATAATCAAAATTTCAAATGATCCCCAAAATTATTATCCAAACTCACTTTCAAACAGTTCTGATTTTTTTTTTTAAAGAAAACTAACTACTCGCAAAATAATCGGTGATACTGGAATATCTATCCTCTCTTCGGAAGTTAAAGGTACGTACTATTATATTTTTATTTTAATGATCATTAATATTTCAATTTTTAAGGCCTATCGCAATTAGTTAATTCATGAATTTTTACTTTTTCAATCTAAATGACATTTCTGCACTCCAATTATAATTTATAAGTCAAAATTTCTCTTACTCTCTGGAACAAATTCTGGATATCTCTATTTGAAAATGTGGAAAAACTAAATTATAATTAAACGATTTTAAAGCACTCCCGGACTATTCCACCTTTTTAGGGCTCTTCCTCCAAAATTTTCGTCGCCTCCAACAACCTATTCTTCCTTGTTAACCGCCATAGCTAGCACCAACTACCAAAATCCTTCGTTGCTAACAGCAACCCCCTTTCTTTTTTCATTCCGTCTTCTATTTTATTCAACCATAAAACTGTCCTGTTTTGACATATTTGTCAAACCACATTAATTTCTCATAAGCACTTTAATCACATCTAATTTGGGAATTTATAAAAAAAAATTCAGATATAAAACTTAACAATACTAATATAATTTATTCTTTTCATCTCCACATCATTGTAATTTATTTAACAAAACCCCTATTAATTTAGTTCCCACAGACTTTTGACAGTTTATTTTTCTGACGTTTATTTTTAAAATTTCTATGTTTAAATAATTTTTTAAGAATTCTTCTTTTTTTATTCCTTTTAAGGTTTAGACGATTCACCTATACACTAGGCAACTATACTATTCAGAAATTATTAACACTATACCAGGTAAGTCAAAATTAATTTATTTAGCAATTTACTAATCTTTTCTCCCTTTTATTTCAGAGTCGACCCCACATTGTGATGGCTTCATGAAATTCATGAACAACAAACTCATATAAAAATCCCTTTAAGTTATATCCTCTTTGACCTATTGAAATCATTTCAATATATATATATATATATATATATATATATATATATATATATATATATATATATATATATATATATATTATTCGTGAACACATGAGTTAATATTATATGTAGTCGTCATTTGCCAAAGTCTCTAAATGGCAAAAAAATCAAAATTTTTTCGCTAAATTAAATCGATAAAATCTTATAACTGCATCTTTACTATATAAAAGTAGGTAAAACGTTGCTGGGTTTTTGCTAAACTCATTATATTCACAGTTTATTTGCAAAACTGTTTGTTTGCCGTCAATCGAATGTTTTTTAGTTCCAGTAACACTTTCGTTGAGTATTGATGTGTAATATATATAATTTCTTTTTGGTGTAATTTGCTGACAGGGATGAGTTGAAAATAGTCATTCTAAGATTTTACCTTCTCCAAGAGCAAAATCACGCAAGAAAGAGCGACAACCAGAAAAATATGCTAAGAATTTTTAAAAAACGGACAAGTACTAATTGCTTGAAAAAATTTTACAATAAGTTTAACACTAATTAAATAGGTGAAATTATATTAACTTTGATCAAATAAAAGGCAGATATCGAGCATAGTTTTATTAATTAAATCTTGCTCAAGTACTTTCGCTTCCTAGAGCATCTTCAGGGCATTTCGTCAATTTTGGCCTATCCAACAAAAATAGAATATTATAACATAAAATTGTACATCACACTACACAAGGACAAACACTTTAAAATTTTAAAATAGGCGAAGCTACATTATGTTCTGGAACCGGAGAGAGAAACTGTTTGTCCTTGTGTAGTGTAGTGTGATGTACAATTTTATGTTATAACATTCTATTTTTGTTGGATAGGCCAAAATTGATGAAATGCCTCTGAAGATGCTCCAGGAAGCGAAAGTACTTGGGCAAGATTGAATTAATAAAACTGTGCTTGATATCTGCCTTTTATTTGATCAAAGTTCGTTTATTCGAGCGTTCAACCTTACATCGAAATTATATTATTTGTAAGCATACACCATACATGCTTTCAAACTTTCCAACTTGTCACGATGGTAAACCCGGGCAACCGTATTTTTGCAAACAATTCCATGGTTACATGTACGAATCTAAATCTAAACTAGAACAGGACAATCTCATACTGAACTGTTGCACAGGGAAATAAACCGAAGAGAGGAAAATACAATTATGCTTGAGTCTCGATCGAATACAATTTTTAATATGCATAGAATCTCACTATTGTAGGAGGAAGATTAGTTTGCGTGTCTCTTAACCATACGAGTTAAATTTTAAAAAGATTTATATTCACTATCAACAGCGAGTTCCTGACGATTTGCACGATAGAATTAGTTATTATAGAAAATTCTTAAATGCAAATTACAATATTGCGTTTGGAACTTCACTTATAGATTGCTGTTCAACGTGCTTACGGTTGAAAGAACAACTGAAACTGACAGCTTCACCTGAAAAAAGACGTAAGTTGACTACAGAGAATCGCCCTCATATATTGAAGGCAAAAGCATTCTTCCGTCTCTTGAAACATCCAAACCAAACACAGTGTCTTTTCCTTTGATTGTCAGAACAATTTGGCCCTGCCTAGATAACCAGATCAAGCTGCATATGTCAGTCAGCAAATAAGTTACAACTTCTGTACTATAGTGTCTGGAGCATCTAAAACTAAGTTCACGCAACCGTAAACTCGTATTTATGGACGGACATTGATACCCAAAAAAATGCGAACACAATAGCATCCGCAGTTAGACATGCATTAAACATAATCACAAAAATTAACTTAAAGACGACCTGAAAACAATGAACATAAGACAATGGAGAAGAAGGGCACAAGAGAGATCTGAATGGAAGGACATAGCCAGACAGGTAAAGACCCATCCAGGGTTATGATGCCAAAAGAAGAAGAAGAAACGATTTATATTCCATAGACAGAAACACACGGTTTTAATCCAAGGTGAGGTTTATTACTTAAGTGATTTAGGAATGCCTAAAGTTGTTGTAAAAAAATATTTGTTTTCATTCATTCTGCCAGGTGAAGTACCACTAAGCAACAAATTTAGGCGATGAAGCTTTAATTATTAGTTTGTTGGATAAGCATTGTGGTGTCAAAGATTTCAGAAAACTAGTCAAGACTGGATAAAATTATCAGAACTAGACTTCTACAATAATAGTCTAAAGCAAACTGCTGTAAATACAGTAAGAATTGAAAATGACCAAGATTTGTTTGACAACGAAAGCGACACTAAAATCATTAAATTTTTTACCTGTTATTTCTTAGTTTTTTGAATAAAAGATACTTAAAAAAAAATTGTGTTATTTGAAAACATTTTTTTAATGTTTGTAATACGTTATTGGGTGTTTAATTAACATACTTTTTATTTCATTTAAAAAATTTTAATTAATGTCATTCATTAATCTATTTGCAAAATTTTCTCTTTGCGAAAAAGAATTTTTTTTAATCTATAAGAGATTAATGTTTACAATCATCATTACTTATTATTAATGGATATATTATATTGGCTAAAAAATGCAAAAATTCGAAACCATAATTTACTGAATGCTACAATGTTTTTTGTTGCTCCTGAAAAGTAAATCAAATAGCAAAGAGGAAGTTTTGCAAATAACTATATAGAAATGGATTTCTGTTTGAATTAACTTGGACGTAAAAAATATACTAAGTATTTACATTTTTTGGTAGTCATTATATTTCTATTATCAATAAAACATATAATTCCATAATACATACGTGCATAGGTAGATATCGGTCCACTTCACAATTTTGAATTTTATTTGGAAGGATTTATTTTAAGATTGTAGTAATATAGTTCATATTATAGTTTATAGTAAACCTATTAAAGTTCATTCAATATTAAGGCACTATTCCGACACTGTTACTCACAAATTTTAAGGACTTAAAATGGTGGAGGTAGCATAAAAAAATTTCTAGGTGCGCCACTGACGTGAGTTAAAGCTCCATATATCCTGCTGCCAAAATTTCCCACCGAAGTTGAAATCTAATCACATTTCTGTCATCTTCTATCAGTATCAATGAATTAATTGTAAATATGTAGTGTTCCAAGAAATCCACCATGGAATAGATGTTGTCAATTACACAGACCGACAAAATTTGACCAATATTCGGACGCAGAGATCAAAATATATTTCTCAGAAAGTTATTTTGTGCGCTAAATCTGAATCTGAGCTATAAATTGTCAAATTGGCTATGGTTTCTGAGATAACCTACCCAAGAATTAAAAAATAACTGTGTTTAAACGTAGACAAAAAATGCAAGGTACAGAGGAAACTGACACAAAGCAGTCCCTGCATCTTTTTTTAATTTGCCAGGTTTATCGACCACGTGACCTAAATGCCCAATGAGAAGTTTTCTTTCAGTAGTGTTAACGTTATTCATAATCGTTTAATGTCTGAATGACTTCTCTCATTCTGTCACCTGTCAACAACACGGCCAATGCAACCAAAGTGCAAGATTATTCCGAACCCATTTCCCCTATTGCGATTTCCGGATTTCTATTTTATGGCCCCATATGTCCCATGATCCACCGGATAAAAAATTGTATGCCATAATTATTTCACTTTTTAGTATCTTGTAGCATTACCAAGTTTTCTGAACATAATACATTTACATTTGTACCTCTACTTCAAAGCTCAAAGAATTTATTTTAATTTTTAATTTGTTCTTTAACCTATAATCTCTAAATAATACACCCTTATCTTATTATTTAAATAAGACAAGGGTACATTAAAGAATATAAATAATTGTATTTTCACTGTGCTATTTTTTTTTCAGATGTTCGTTACGAATACGTAGTAGACCAACAGCCAATAGGAAAACTTCTATTCGATCAGTTCTGCGAGCAAAAAGGGCCCGCCTACCACCGTTGCCTCCGATTTTTAGATGCCGCCAAACGCTATGAGGTCGAAACCGATGAACAGCGCCTCGAACTGGCCAAAGTTATCAAAAAGGAGTTCATGGTCGAGCAGGAGGGGCAGGAGAGCATATCCTTGCCAGAGGTCAGTTGAGACTAAACTTTGATACTCAAACTTTTTCAGACTACCAACAAATTGATACTGAAGATTATAGGGAAAGTTTTTTTTTCGTTTCATTAGATCTAGCAAACGCAAGATTTTGTAAATTTGTTAAACTTATACAATATGTTCCACATCTAATATCAGCTAACCTTAATAAACGAGTCACTAAGTATGCACATATAATTGGACGCATTTTTAAACACGTATTAAAGATATCTGATTTTTTTAAGTGAATACTTCTTATTGCTCAATATAATGTTTTGTACGGACATGAAATCCTATTTAGTGTAAGTCGAAAAATCAAGATGAGGGTAGTAACATTGCGATATACCTTAATATTTACAATATACATACATTAAATTAAATGAAATTAAATACAAATTAAATAAAATAAAATAAAACAAAAATATAAAACTGAAAAAAATGAAAAATTATAAAAACTTATTACAAATTATAAAAAATTATAAATAATTAAAAGAAGTTATAAGAATTAAATAAAATTAAACAGAATTAAATAACATTAAATAAAATTAAAATAAAACAAAATTAAATGAAATTAAATAAATAGAATTTAAAAAATAAAAAAAGTTAAATAATAAATGATATTAAAAATAAATGAATATAATTAATAGAAATTAAATAAAAGTAAATACAATTTAACTACAATTAAATAAAGTTAAAAACAATTAAATAAAATTAAACAAAATTAATCAAAACAAAAGTTTCTTTTAGACATTTTATAGTCATATAGATAAGTATTTACAAATGGGAAGTTTTTAATGAAAATTAATTAATACACCCTGCCATTATTTATAATTCTTATGAGTATAATGATATTTAAAATAGAATTAAGCATAAATACAAGTACATCAGTTCATAGTAACAAATGAGTGTACTTAAAATCTGAAAGACAAACATATTGTTGAGATTTTTAGATCCGATATTGTTCTAAATTCATTTTTTGTGAGATTTTATTTTTATAACTAAGATGTATCTCGTGGAATTATACTGAATATATATCCGCAATTGTTAAATGGAACTACTTTTTCACTTATTTATTTTTCATTTCGCTATCCAGGTCGGATGCCATTTGTAAAATAGAAGTAGTGTTATATTAAACAAACTATTTTGTTTCTGTTTCGTGGGAAATAAAATTATTTTCAACAATTCTATTCGCTGGACAGTGTGACCAAAAACACGGGGCTATAATTTTTATCTTCTTCTAGAGTGCCCCTGTTCGTGTAATATTGGCGATCACATTGACCCATCTTATTCTATTCACAGCATCTCGAAATAGTCGGTTGACGTTAGATCAGTCCCTTTCCTAAGATTGGTCAACCAGGATATACGTCTGCGTCCTGGTCCGCTCTTGTCTTGTACAATCAACTGTAAAAGTCGGTATTTATTATTACGCTTAATGTGGCGAAGTAAGCCAATTTTTATATAGTTATGTTAATTGTGAGGTGCATATATGAAATATAATATATCCTTTACATACGTCGCGTCGTGATGTGATGCTACACATTTTAAATATCTCTAAATAACTGTTGTATGGCAAATTCTGTAAAACTCCCAGATTTTTACTCCATCAAGGAAAACAATAAATACGTCCCTCTCCTCCCCCAAAGTGCCATCTTTATTGAGGTTGGCGATCAATATGGCAAACTTTTCGCTTTTCTGGGCTTGATGAATTAATTAATTTCCTCTTGTGTGGGTCCAATCTCTGATGTTTCGTCGCCAAAATTTTTTCTTTCGTCCTATGCCCCTTTTACCTTCAATCTTGCCTTCTAATATTACCTGGAGCTGCTCAAATTCCCTATGGCGCATTATGTGTCTTTCTAATTTTGATACTATTGACCAGATGAAGGCGTCTGTTCATTACTCTCAGTACTTCTTCATTCGTAGTTCTGCTGGCCCAGCTTATTCTTTACATTCGGCGGTATATCCACAATTCAAATGAATTTAATTTGTTGACGTCATACTGTTTTATTGTCCAGGTCTCACGGCTATATAGTAACAGAGACCACACATAACACTTTAGTGTTCTCAATCTTATTGAACCAAGCCAGATCTTGCTATTTCAATGCGTCTTCTAATTTCTTTTGAGTGGTCTAGTTGACTATTTAGCTCTCTGCCCAGGTATATAAAGCTTTGGGAACTGTGAAGGGTGATACCATTTATTTGTATGTTAGGTATAACCTGTTCATGGGGATTTTTGGGGAATACCAGAATTTTGGTTTTGGAAAAGTTAATGTCCAAGCCCAGCCTACGACTTTCTTCTGATAATATGTTCACCAACATTTTTAGTTGGTCTTCTGTTTCTGCTAATACTACGGTGAATATTACTAAACTATATTACTAGCTAATATAACGAATTGTAATACTGTCACTTTTTTTAACTGAATTGTAGCTTCTGGATCCAACAATAACCCCAATTTAAAAAAAAAAAAATTTGTGTTGGTTGAATGTGGAGACAAATTTAGCAGATAACAAAAGTGCGCGATTTATTTATCACATATCCAAAACAGAGGAATAATAAAAAAACTGTAAGTAGAGTAATTATACAATCAATACAAGTGGGAGCGGCTGAGATTTGTCTAGATCAAAACGGTCAATCCTTAGCCTCGGTTCGCCCTATAGGTAACAATTTTGGATTGATAAAATCTGCGGTTTATCGAATTCTCAAAAAAAATTAGTATTCCTTCAAAATCAACATGAAGTACGAACTGCGAGCAGATGGCACGACAGAAAACTGAAGCTTTTATGAAACGATTACATATTTACTCGGAAGAGGAGATCTCAGCTTAAAAACGGTGCAACTTAACTGGCTCCCGAACTCTATAAAACCACTTTAATCCTACACGAATTGATTCCCAAACGCATACATGAACTGGCTCCCGCCCATTACAAAATTCCCAGAAATTGAATCTGCGTCTGAAACTTGGAGTTTCAGCAAAAGAGGTATAATATACACCAGAAATTAGAAATGTCATAAACAAATTATTTATTAAAGAAACTGTAACTTACAGACTATACAGGTTGATGCCTTCTTGAAATATTTTTTACAAACTCAAAAGCAGTTATACGTTTTTGCTGTAAAAGACGTATTTGGATACTACTACTTCTTACTTTATTTAATACAGGTATATATTTGAACATTTTTCAGAACCTTTAAAAATTGGAAAATGTCCGGATGGCGAGTATAAAACAAGGAATTGAATTTTGAATAGAAACTCTCGCATGCATTCGTCGTTTTTTGTAGAGAGTTCTATTTTCATGTGGCTCACGTAGTAGGTGAAAATTTGGCGTCTTTAGCAATGTTGTTCTCCACCAAGATATTTGCAAATTTTTTAACTGCTGTATGTCTGAGTAAGATTGCTCCAATATCAATCGCTCCAATATCAATCGCCGACGTCTTCGGAGTTCAACAAGAAAGACTAAACACGTATTTTAAGTAACAGAAAGGTCTGATTCTTTCAAATATTCCGTTGCCAAGCCCAGTTTCTGAATCTTTCGCCACCTGTTTCATATAATTAACGTTCATATAGACTAACAATCGTTTAATGATAACAACATAAAACTACAATACATCTTTTTAACTTCCAATATATGAAAGTATCGTAATACCAAAGGAATGGCTTAACTTAGAATCCACAGCTATATTAGCTTTATGAGTCACTAACTAAAAATATTCTTAAAGATCATACATAATCCAATTTAAAAAAATGTAAAATAGACATAAGTGACTCTCAGTTTGGATTTACAAAGAGCTTGGGAACAAGAGAGGCGTTGTTTGCGATTTAAACACTCATTTAAAACTGCCTCGATCGCCAGAAAAAATGTATACCTATCTCTGTTTCATCGACTACCAGAAGGCTTTTGATAGAGTCCAACAGGAAAAATCATTGTATGAACTACGGAAAATAAAGCTAGACGGAAAAAATCTGGTGTACGACGAGGTTGTATCATGTCTCTATTGCTCGTTAACTTTACTCTAAATGCATATTTAAACAAGGCCCCCGAGATGACCAATGGGCATGGGAGAATAACTGTTTGTTTTATTAGGAGAGCTATTACTTTAAGCAATTACTGTAATTTAAAGCAATAAACATTCTGAATCTGAATTTGAGAGAATCGATTTTCTCCCTATCTATATTAACTATCCGTAAACGATAATTTTAGAATTATTTTGAACTAGATACAACATATTCTCGATCAAATATCAGTTGTAAAAAAAGTTTTGGTATGCAAAAACAACAATTTACATTAAATATCATTGCAAAACATTTAATTTATGAGAATTAAATCAAAATGTCGAAAGTCAAGTGTATGGTCCATGTGAGAAGAAATTAGAGGTTGGAATATTAATAAAATATAAAAATAAACAGTAAATATATACTATAAAGAGAACAGAGCAAACAGAGCCGCAGGTTACCTGAATGAAACAATATGGAGAAATAAAAATATCGGGAAAGAAATGAAAGGCAGAATTTACAAAACAGTCATAAGACCAATATTGACATACGTGGCAGCAACACGACCTGACACAGAGAGGACAAAAAGTATGAAACAGCAGAGATGAAAACATTTATGTAAAAGAGAGTAAAACACTAATACGATGTAGATGCAAGGTGGTTAACATCAAAAATAGAAGAGTAGCATGGAATGATCATATAAACCGAATGACAACAAATAGAGTAGTAAAGACGGCAAGAGACGGTTTCAAAATAGGAAGACGATCAGTAGGAAGACCACGTAAATGATGGAACGACAACTTACTGGAGGTACATTGAAAAACAGACAGATTCATGTCTGCATAAAAAGAAGAAGGAGAAAACTATAAATAGACAGTTATAGACAGAGTTTATAATGCAAGTGAAGCAATGGAACTGACAATAAATCTTCAAAATCTAAAGTAATTGCGATTAGCAAAACCGATGAAAATTGTCGCATTGACCTACATTGACCTTTGTAAGTAACCC